GTTTTCTAAAGATTTATTTATTTGAGAGAGGGAAAGAGCACAAGGGGGGAAGGGGCACAGGGAGAAAGAGAAGCAGACTCCCTGATGAGCATGGAGCCTAATATGGGGCTCAATCCCAGGGCCCTGGAATCATGACCCAAGCCAAAGGCAGGCGCTTAACTGACTAAACCACCCAGGCACCCCTCTCCCTGTCTTTATACATTTTTTATGCTGCCATAAGCACTGGAGGACAGATTGAGGGCACAAACCCTCTTGAGATCCTTTAATCATAGATTGTTTCATGGGTAGCTGCTAATTTGACATGGGACCCATTTGAGCTACATTTCCACCATAAAACAAAAAACCTGTCAAGTGCTGCTGCACAACATTCTGTTGTCTTATTCCTATTGGTCTGGGTGATTTCACTGGTTTACAGTTCAGAGGCCCCAACCCTCCAAAAAAGCCACACTTTCAATAAAACATGGCAAATGCTAAGATTCATATCAACTCAAGTGGGTACCCACTTAGAAATGTCACCTCAGTCCCACATGCCAAATGATATCACTTTGGTCCAGGAGCTTTCTGCGGAAGATGACATCACCGCAGCCCAAGACCAAGATGATTTTGCCCCTTCACTGCAGACAGCTTTGCCCAGGACACCAAAACCTTCACTCTGGTGACACCTATGAACTGCCTCTCTTAAGGCAATGTCCTAAGGACATCTATTGCTTTTTTTTTTTTTTTTTAAGATTTTATTTATTTATTTGACAGAGAGAGACAGCAAGAGAGGGAACACAAGCAGGGGGAGTGAGAGAGGGAGAAGCAGGCTTCCCACTGAGCAGGGAACCCAATACGGGCTCGATCCTGGGACCCCAGGATCATGACCTGAGCCGAAGGCAGATGCTTAACAACTGAACCACCCAGGTGCCCCACTTTTCTTCCTTGATATTAGGAATCCAGTTATGTATCCTGAGCTCACTGTATGTTTAGTTCATTATTTTCATATACCCTTTGCTCCCTGCCACAATTTATACCTCTAGAGTCCCATGTGTAAAGGGAAATCTGGTGGAAGTCACTACTATTTGTCATTCTAAAAATTAATGGAGATTATTGCTTTCCCCAGAGGCACCCACCTCATAGTAGTCAACTCCTTGATTCCCAGAGGAGAGGACCACTCACTCCCCAGTGCTTTCTCCCGCTATCCCACCTCCAACTTTTCACCCCGACTATCTGTCCTGCATCTCCAACCCTAACTATTTGTTACATACAAATACCACTAATTGTTACATATACTTCACTAAATTATCAGTTCATATCCTCCAACAACATGGTTGCTGGGCCTGAAACCTTGAGCCACAAAATACACTGAGATACCATTGTCAAAAAATACATGTACATATATATTTGACTAGGTATATATACTTTGTTTCTATGATTTTGAATAGCTTGGATAGTTCATATGAATGGAATATCATATTTGTTCTTTTGCAACTGGCTTATTTCACTTAGCATGTCTTTTGGGTTCATCCATATTGTAGCATGTGACAGGATTTCCTTCTTTCTTAAGGCTGCATAAAATTCCATTGTATGTAGATATCACATTTTCCTTATCCATTCATCTATCAGTGGACATTTGAGTTCTTTTAATTCATTGAGCATCCTTACGATGGTAATTTTGAATTCTTTGGCAATTCATATCTCTATTTAGGTTCGACTTTTTATTTTATTTTATTTTTTAAAAGATTTTACTTATTTGACAGGGAGAGACATAGTGAGAGACAGAACACAAGCAGGGGGAGTAGGAGAGGGAGAAGCAGGTTTCCCGCAGAGCAGGGAGCCTGATGTGGGGCTCGATCCCAGGACCCTGGGATCATGACCTGAGCCCAAGGTAGACGCTTAATGACTGAGCCACCCAGGCGCCCCTAGGTTCGGCTTTTTATTTATTATTTTATTTATTTATTTTTTAAACGTTTTATTTATTTGACAGAGAGAGACACAGCGAGAGAGGGAACACAAGCAGGGGGAGTGGGAGAGGGAGAAGCAGGCTTCCCGCCGAGCAGGGAGCCTGATGCGGGGCTCGATCCCAGGACCCCAGGATCATGACCTGAGCCGAAGGCAGACGCTCAACGACTGAGCCACCCAGGTGCCCCTAGGTTCGGATTTTTAAAGATTTAATTGGTTCCTAAATGTGTCATGGTTGATTGCTTCTTTTATGTTTTATTTTTGTTGTGGAGATTCAGCATCTGAAGAATCAGTCAACTGTCTCAGACTTTGTGGTCTCCTTTACTACAGGCAAGACTTTTTCCACATAGTCTGGCTAGAGATTGTGGAGACCTCTCTCAAGCCTTCTCTGGGCATGCATCCTTCCAGGGCTTGTGTTGTGTAATCTATTTGAAAAGGTTTACTGGTTTCTACTCAAGAGCTCCCCCTTGTGTCTGTCTCCGATATTGCAGCATATCTGTGGGGCTGTTAGTAAATCATGGTCTGGGGCTCCTCCTAGTATTTATTAGTGGTACGGTAGACTCTAGCACACACTTCATGTCTTTATTCTCAGAAATCCCCTCAACCTGTTGCTACATTCTGTCAGTACCTGGATATAAGCAAGACAGACACCGGTCCCCTTTGGTAGCCCCTCTAAAAGTCACTTAGAGACTAACATTCTACTCCTTTCCATCCCCAGAGAGAAGATGGTAGTTGGGGATTTCCAATCAAATGCGCCTTGGTTTGGGGGCAGGTGGGGACGCTCAGATGAGAGGGAACAGGGAGTATCACAAACTTCCTACCAGGCTTCTATGCCCTTGGCCTTGTGCTTGCCTGGGGTGTAAGAACCTCTTGACTGGTTTCTGGATTTCTCAGTTATTTTGTTGATTTGTAAAATCTGTGTCTTCCTATTCCATCATCTTGCTGATGTTACCTTGTATACAAGTTTCTGTGTGATCAACAAGTTTCAACTAGCTTGTAAACAGCAAGGAGCACGATTACTGGATTGTATACTAGGAGTATGTTAGTTTGCAAGAAACTGCCAAACTGTCTTCCAAAGTGGCTGTAACCATTCTGTATTCCCATCAGCAATGAATGAGGGTTCTTATCCCACATCCTATCCAGCATTTGGTGTTACCAGTGTTTTGGATTTTAGCCATTCTTACAAGTGTGTACTGGTATCTCGTTGTAATTTACAATTCTTTTATGACTTGATATTGAGCATCTTTTTGTGTGTTTATTTGCCATCTGTCTATCTTCTTTGGTGAGATGTTCAGATTTTTGCCCAGTTTTTAAATTGGGTTGTTTCTGGGGCGCCTGGGTGGCTCAGTTGTTAAGCGTCTGCCTTTAGCTCAGATCATGATCCCAGGGTCCTGGGATTGAGACCCCCACATCGGGCTCCCTGCTCAGCTGGAAGCCTGCTTCTCCCTCTCCCACCCCCCACTGCTTGTGTTCCCTCTCTCGCTGTGTCTCTGTCAAATAAATAAATAAAATCTTTAAAAAAAATTAATAAATAAATTGGGTTGTTTCCTTATCGTTGAATGTTAAGAATTCTTTGTATATTTTGGATATTAATCCTTTATCAGATATGTCTTTCACAAATATTTTCTTCTAGTGTATGGCTTGTCTTCTCATTCTCTTAACAGTGTCTTTTGCAGAGTAGAAGTTTTTAAAATTTTAATGAAGTATATAGCTAATCAATCATTTCTTTTGTGGATCATGCTTTTGGTGTTGTATCTAAAAAGTCATCACCAAACCTAAAGTCATCTGTATTTTCTCTTATGTTATGTCCTATGAGTTCTATAGTTTTGCATTTTACAATTAGAACTATGATCCATTTTGAGTTAATTTTTGTGAAAGCTATGAAGGTCTGTGTCTAGGTTTTTTTTTTTTTTTTTTTTTTGGCATGCAGATGTCTGGCTGTTCCAGCACCATTTGTTGAAAAGACTACCTTTTCCCCATTGTATTGCCTTTGCTGCTTTGTCAAAGATTAGTATATTTGGGGCACCTGGGTGGCTCAGTCAGTTAAGCATCTGCCTTTGGCTCAGGTCATGATCCCAGCGTCCTGGGATCGAGCCCTGCGTCGGGCTCCCTGCTCAGCGGGAAGCCTGCTTCTCCCTCTCCTTCTGCCTGCTCCTCTACCTACTTGTGACCTCTCTCTCTGTGTCAAATAAATGAGATCTTTAAAAAAAAAAAAAAGATTAGTATATTTGAGTGGGTCTATTTCTTGGCTCTCTAATCTGCCCCATTGACCTATTTGTTTATTCTTTCACAAATACATTATCTGTTACTGTAGTTTTATCATAAGTCTTGAGGTTGGGTATTGCCAATCCTACACTTTTGTTCTTCTCCTTCACTATTGTGTTGGCTATTCTGGATATTTTGCTTTTCCATATAAAATTTGTAATTTTGGTCTTTCAGTGAAACTGTTCTACTGGATTGTGAACTTCCACTAGTTTTCAGTTCCCCTTCCCCAGTGTAGGACAGGATGGTTACAGTGGGCTGGAGTTGGGCATTTCTCTTCCACAGGTCAGTTAGATGCTAATAAAACCCCAGTAGGTTATTGGGGCATGCCTTGTTATGACTGTGTATTTCAAAATAGTGACTTCCCCTCCTCTGCCAAAAGCACAATGGGGATTTTTCTCCAATCTTTACTATGAGAACTTGGTTGGCCTCCTGGTGGTAAAGCTCCTAAGAGCGTCCCCTATGACTGGGACCCCTTGGAATCTTTAATTCTCAGGTGAACTGAGCCTCTTGCAATTTGTCCATTAGAGTTTAGGTTTTTCTACCCCTGTACTTGTTCACACAGAACTTCCTGCTAATGTGTTTCTGCTCTGGTAATTTTTTTGCAAGGACATGTTTTGATTCCCTTCTCATTTCCTTTTGTGTATTCTATAGTTTTCTTTGTAATTACCATGGGGATTACATATAATATCCTAAAGTTATAACAATCTATTTTAAATTGATACCAACTTCAATTGCAGATGAAAGTTCTACTCCTTTATAGGTTGGCATATTTGTTACTGATATCACAAATTACATTTTTTTTCTTTTAAAAGATTTTATTTATTTGACAGAGAGAGACACAGCCAGAGAGGTAACACAAGCAGGGGGAGTGGAAGAGGGAGAGGCAGGCTTCCTGTGGAGCAGGGAGCCTGATGTGGGGCTCGATCCCAGGACCCTGGGATCATGACCTGAGCCAAAGGCAGACGCTTAACCATCTGAGCCACCCAGGCGCCCCTATCTTAGTATTTTTAAAAATCAGTTATCTTAGTATTTTCAATGGCTTCCAAGTACTGTCTAGCATCTTGTAGTGCCTGATATAGGGAGATGGGAAATACTCCATCCCCAAATTCCTAGTTTACCTGTAATATCTCCCTTAATTTCATTTTTTGATTCATGACTTTTGTTAAAAAACAAAATAGAAACCCCAAACATTCCTCAAGCATATACACTTCCCAAAGATGTTAAGAGCAATTAGGAGCAAACAGGATTTCATGTACAAATTAGTTTGGATTATGCTCATATAAGCCAGTTAAATGGGAGTTTTGTCTTTTTTTTAACTGCAGTTTTGATACGCTGCTGTGCATTGTGAATTGTGGGATTAGAAGGTTATAATAGTTAAGATGCAGATATGGTAGTTGGAGGAGGTAACTCATAAAGTCACTCGTTATATTAACCACATTGATTTTAGTAGAGCATGTAACATTGTTTTTTTTTTAAAGATTTTATTTATTTATTTGACAGAGAGAGACACAGCGAGAGAGGGAACACAAGCAGGGGGAGTGGGAGAGGGAGAAGCAGGCTCCCTGCAGAGCAGGGAGCCCGATGCGGGGCTCGATCCCAGGACCCCGGGATCATGACCCGAGCCGAAGGCAGTCGCCCAACCGACTGAGCCACCCAGGTGCCCCATAACATTATGTTTTTAATAAAAATACCTTACAAAAGATGCTGGGACTTGCTCAAATTATCAATTGTTATGGAGTTTAGATATACAAATTCCAGAATTGCCACAGAATTATCTTTCATTGCATTTCAAGAATCCCTCGCTATCCAAAATCTACTTGTTTTCTGAGCTTCTGAGAGCATAGAATACTACGTTAACCAAATCAATAGGACTTCTGTTTTTTAGCAAGTGACTATCTAAAGCAAGAATTGACAAACTTTTTCTGTAACAGGTCAGGTAGTAAATATTATAGGCTTTGCAAACCACTTGGTCTATCACAGGTACTCAAATTATGTTATAGTGTGAAAGCAGCCAGACAATATGTGAATATATGTGGTTCTGTTTTAATGACTTTATGAACACTGAAGTTTGAGTATCATATAATTTCATGTTATTTTTTAAAATTTCAACCAATTTAAATGTAAAAATCATGCTTAGCTTCTAGGCCATACAAAAACAGGTAGTGGTCTAGATTAGTTTGCTGTCCCCTGATTTACAATGTGATAATAAGGTTTTATCTAAAGTATTTGATTTCTGGGGCGCCTTGGGTGGCTGTCAGTTAAGCGCCTGCCTTCAGCTCAGCTCATGATCTCAGGGTCCTTGCTCAGCAGAGGGTCTGCTGCTCCCCCTGCCCTCCCAACCCTGCTTGTGTGCACCCACACTTAATAAGTAAATAAAATCTTTAAAAAACAAAAAATAAAGTATTTGATTTCTGACTTCAGGTAATGGGTTCAGATTGTGCATGTTTTAATAGACTGCTAGAATGAATTTGTACTTTCAGTACTATGATACTAAATTATGTTTTTGTGATCTAGTTATTTTGACATCAGGAATATGAAAGAGTCATAAAAACAGATGGTGAGCTTGTTTTCTCATTTGATTTGGAAGTTCCTTGAATATTTGATAAATTTTGCCCATAAAATGATCTGGCTTGGTGATCTAAGTGCAGCTATTTGACTATATTCAAACCTTTTCCCCCCTGCATTTATCATTTTACTCTATGAAGGGTTTACACCTCCTACTTCTGACAAATTACATTTTTCTACAAATATTGTATACTTTGTCTAGATTTCCAATTATTAGTAAATATGATAATCTCCTAATCATGTCCATATTTCATGTATTCATGTCTTCTATTTTTCCCCCTCAGAATTACCAATGTTTCTATCTATATATTTCTTTGCTGTCAAAGAAATAATTTTATTTTCCTTGAATTATTTTTGCTGTTTATTTTTACTACCTTTAATATATTTGAATATAGTTTGCTGTTACTCTTCTTGCTTTTTGTCTTGTACATTTAGTTCATTTATTAATAATCTCTTGGTGTTTGACCTATCAGCATCCCTAGAAACTCGAAAATACTCTTAACTAATAGAGAACAAACTGAGGGTTACTGAAGGTGAAGTGGGCAGGGGATGGATTAAATGGGTGATGCGTATTGAGAACACTTGATGTGATGAGCACTGGGTATTTTATGTAAGTGATGAATCACTAAATTCTACACCTGAAATTAATATTACACTGTTATGTTAAACATAATTTAAATTAAAACTTGAAAAAAGAAAAAAAAACCAGCATGCCTATTGGGCTATACTTTATTTGAATACAGAGTTAGTTCCTCTCAGGCTTTTCTACATAATGTGTTCATTTTCACTCATTTAAATATAATTCAGGGATTGATTTCCTTCTGATTCATGTTATTTGGAAGGGTATTATTAATACTCAGATATTGTTGGCTATCACATTTTAGTTTTTTTCCCCATTTTGAAAAAGAATGCGACCTACATATGGTCTACTTTGGGTGGAAAGTGATTGAGTAAATATTTCCTATTTTTCTCTACTGTTTTGACAAATGAATTTTGTTATTCTCAATATGCAAATAGATTTTTGGACAGGCATAAAATTATTGCACAGCATGAAATATAGATGTAAATGTAGACTCATTCAACCATTCTTTTTCTTTCTCGACTTTTACATCCTAGGATTTTTTTTCCTTTTTAAACTTTATGCTGAATAAGGAATAAATGTTGGTGAGAAGCTTTTCTACGAACATTTACACCCATTGGCTGTTCTCATTATGAATTCTTTATGTCAATTAAGGTGTATAACATGGTTAAAGTCCTTTCTATAAATAATAATAATGGTGGAGGTACTGATACTAGTATTAAATAACATCTCCTAGATAGTTACTATATGTTAATAACAATCCCCCCCCAAAAAATAACAATCCCAACCATTTTCTTGTTTTCTCTTTTGAGAGAGAAAGCTCAAGCATGGAAGTAGGGAGAGAATTCCAAGCATGCTTCTCACCGAGCATGGAGCTTGATCTCACCACCCTGAGATCATGACCTGAGCCGAAATCAAGAGACTCTTAACCAACTGAGCCACCCTGGTACCCCTCATTTTATATTTTTTGTTGTTGTTGTTAAAGGTTTTATTTATTTACTTGAGAGAGAGAGAGAGGGAGGGAGAGAAAAGCAGGCTTCCCACTGAGCAGAGAGCCTGATGCAGGGCTTGATCCCAGGACTCCGGGATCATGACCTGAGCCAAAGGCAGAGACCCAACTGACTGAGCCACCCAGGTTACTCTCATTTTACACATCTTAACTCATTTAATCCTCACAGCAATCCAACACATTAGTGTATATGTGTTATGTACATTCATACACAAAATTATAAAGCAGCACTAACTTTTCTACAAGTATTGCAAGTATTTATGTATTTGGTTTGTGTGAACACATTTGTAAGCAAAAATAGTTTTTTAAAAAAAGGTCTGGAAGGATAAAGAGCAAATTGATAACAGTGATTACAATAATGGGACAAACTATTGGCAATATTTTTCAAGGAGAAAATACTGATCAGTATTTTGACATTGAAATGTAATGTTTTTAAAGAAAAACAAACAAAAGCACTAACTTTGTATTTAGAAGGCAACTTTTATAACTAAAATTTCAGTGAGCACCATAAAGTATGTCAGTAATATTTAGCAAAATGATAATCTACCACAGAAAAATTATGATACCATTAAAAAGAATGATAAACATCTATACTTACTGAAATAGTAGCATGATAGAAGCAGGTTATGGTACAACATGCACATCATGATTACACTAAATAAAGCCTGGAAGGATATGTTGTATAATTTGAAAATAGTAATTTTTTTTGGTAGGCTTACAAATAACCTATTTTTTTCACTGTGTGTGTGGGGAGAGTTTGTTTGGTTTTTGCTTTTTTTTATTTTTATTTTTTTTTTAAAGATTTTATTTTATTTATTTATTTGACAGAGAGAGACACAGCGAGAGAGGGAACACAAGTGGGGGGAGTGGGAGAGGGAGAAGCAGGCTCCCCGCAGAGCAGGGAGCCCGATGCGGGACTCGATCCCAGGACCCTGGGATCATGACCTGAGCTGAAGGCAGTCGCTTAACCAACTGAGCCACCCAGGCGCCCTGGGTTTTGCTTTTTTTTAATAACATGAAAACTTTAGCGTTACAAAAGGAAAAGGAATAGAGCTGCCTTCAAAAACAAAGTTATAATTCTGCCAGGAATTAGAAGATAGCCTATGTAATGTAACTTACAGTATAGTATTGGTAGAAACAGATCTATGGGTTAGAGCAATAGAAAAGATGGCGCTAAACTAAGCTAACAAACTCAAACTCAAACATATAACCAAGAAGTAGCATAAAACAATGGGGAGGAAAGAATTATTTAAGAAGTAGTTTGGGACAGAATCTTTTTTGAAGGGAAGGGAGGTTTAACTTAAACCTTGAATTTACATTTTGAAATACATTCAACAAATTATGTATAAAAGAAAAGTACAAAAATGTTAGAAAAACAATGTTAACAGTGTTATGGGTTAAACTATGTTGAAGCCCTAACCTCTGGCACCTGCAATTGTGATCCTACATGGAAATAAGGTCTTTGCAGATGTAATCAAGATAAGGTCATCAGGGTGAGCCTTAATCCAGTATGACTGATGTCCTGTATAAGAGTCTCCTCTTATACAAGACAGAGACACATATACACAGGGAGAATGCAATGTAAAGAGGGAGGCAGAGCACGGAGTGATGCATTTACAAGACAAGGAATGTCAAAGATTGCTGTTACCAGAAACCAGGAGAAAGACATGGAACAGATTCTTCCTCAGAGTCCTCAGAAGGAATCAACGTTACCAACAACTTTAATTTTGGATTTCAAAGCTCCAAAACTGTGAGAGAATACATTTCTGTTGTTTTAAGTCACCCAATTTTGGTACTTTGGTACTTTGTTACAGTAGCCTAAAAAACTACTACACTGCTTTATTTTTTTTCCCATTACCTGTTTTTAAGATATTATTATAAAGATTATCAACAGGGCTTATCTTTCACCCAGTATGAATTCCTTCATGACGAATAAGGTCAGAGCGACTACCAAAGGCCTTTCCACATTCCTTACAGTCATAGGGTTTCTCACCAGTGTGAATTCTTTGATGTCTAGTTAGGTTTGAGCCTTTATTAAAAGCCCTCCCACATTCATTACATTCATAAGGTTTTTCATCTGTATGGATTCTCTGATGTTGAATAAGTTCTGAGCTCTGAATAAAGGACTTTCCACATTCCTTACATTCATAGAGTTTCTTGCCTGCATGAATTCTGTGATGGTTAGTAAGTGTTGAGGCACTACTAAAGGCCTTCCCACATTCCTTACATTCATAAGGTTTCTCACCAGTATGCATTCTTTGATGTTGAATAAGCCTTGAGTGTTGAGTAAAGGCTTTCCCACATTCCTTACATTCATAAGGTTTCTCACCAGTATGAATTCTCAGATGTGGAAAAAGTTGAGAACTCTTAGTAAAGGCTTTTCCACATACTTTACATTCATAGGGTTTCTCACCAGTGTGAATTCTCTGATGATCATTGAGGTTTGAGCAATAATTAAAGGCTTTTCCACATTCCTTACATTCATAGGGTTTCTCACCAGTGTGAATCCTCTGATGTTGAGAAAAATATGAACTACAACTAAAAGCCTTGCCACATTCCTTACATTCATAGGGTTTTTCACCAGTGTGAATCCTCTGATGTCGAGTAACAAGTGAGCCACGGCTAAAGGACTTCCCACACTCCTTACATTCATAGCTTTTTTCAGCAGAATGAGTTCTCTGATGTTGAATAAATTGTGAGTTCTGATTAAAGGCCTTTCCACATATCTTACATTCACAGGGTTTCTCTTCATTAACAGTTTTTTGATGTGGGGTAAGAAATGTGGGCTGAATAAAAGTGGGCATGTCTTCATGGGTAAATATTACTTGACTAAAATGTCTCTTCTTTAGGGATAATATCTTGGTCTCACACATAGATTCCAGATCTGAAAGAAAATAAAAATGCATGTGTTCATTTTTCCTATCTTGGGAGAGATTAAAACTTCTAAAAAAGAAAAAAAGATTAAGGTGAAAATAATATCTGGGAAAGTAAATGCTTAAACAGTTCTCAAATATGGCTAAGCAATTTTCAAAACTGATAACAAAAGCATGGACATTGAGGAGAGCCAAGAGAGGAAATTCAAGAGGGTGATTAGGGAAATAAATGACCTCTATCCTGAAATTCTGATATGAACCAGAATCACCTGAAACTTCCATAAATACACCCTATTCAGGGGTACCCTCCATATTTTATAGTGATTCTAACCATATATACATGTTTATAAGCATATACCCTCACACACAGCATCATATTGTATGTCTTATAATTTGTGGGTAATTGACCTACGTAAAAAGACTACTGAGGAATAAATGTATTGAAATGTATAAATGGGGGGGTGCAGTGTAAGACTGTGCAAAGGGTGTACTGTTGGCAAATCCACATTGGGGGATACCCTAGTCTAAGGTGCTGAATGAAACTGGCAAGAATGGTTTCAGGTAATTCTATGGATAGAGCCTGATATACTGGGGGTTCACTGAAAATAGTTTGCCTTGGAATTCTCTGATGCTGACTTTGGGAGAGAGAGCAATGGAATCTCTCTCATGGCAGTGACTAAGAAAGGAGGCAGCTTGAATAAGAGAAAGAAGAGAGTAAGAATGAAATATACTCTGAGAAGAGAGGTACTCCATGTCCACATTTTTTATCATTCTGCATGTTTTGTCATTTCATGCATGCCATGAAAGCACTGCAAGTATTGATTCTGAGTTTACAAATTTTAGCAAGTAGGTGAATTCATACATATGGAATCTGTAAAGAGTGTGAACTGTACTTTTAATTAAAAAGGGGAACAATTTCTGTTAAAAATGACAGAAAAACCTGTGAGTTTTCCATTGCTTGTTCATTAATCCATAGGAAAATTACAGTAGAAGCCTAACAAGAGGAAAGAAAAACCTCACTGGGACAATGAATAGTGGAGAAGAGACAGTAGCAGTAAAATCTGAAAGCTAAAAAGCCAATAAATGAGTGTGCAGACCAGAGAAGCCAAACTGAGCCTGTAGTGGATGAATTCAACAGCACTGATAGTGCAGATCCCTGAAAATGCAGAAGAATTGAAGGCATCAGGCATTTCTAATAGTGGGATACAGAGAATACTGAAAGCTAAAGAATGAATTCAAGTTTGTATTAGTAGTGAGACCCCTAGGATCCTTTCCCCTATCCCATACGGGATTATACTTCCCTATTCTCACAGAAAACTAGAAATACAGAAAAATGGAACCAGAGGGAATCTGGATTCAGGAACATCAGGCATAGCTGTGGTTATGGGTACTGAACTGAGAACAAAAGATTAACAAAAAATATATATACTTGTGATAAAATAAAGAATATATTTGGTCTTTGTTCCTGGTTCCTGGCACAGAGTTTCACAAACCACTGGAATTTCCTGACTGGAGAGTCTTTTGTTATTCACAAGCTCCTTTTGATCATACCTGAGTTTTCCTAATGAGATGATTCACAGTGGGCACTTAGCTTCAAGGGAGGGTCTGGTCACTCATTGACTACATAATCAAACCCCAATAAAAAAAACTCAGGGCAAGGACTGGGGTAAGCTTCCTGGTTGGTAACTATATGATGTACTTGGAGGGTGACACACCTTGATTTCATGGGTGTAGAATTTCCTGTGCTTGGTACCTCCTAGACCTTGCCCTGTGTATGTCTTCAGCTAACATTTCATTGTATCCTTTATATAAAATGGCAATCATAAGTACAGTGCTTTTCATGAGTTTTATGAGTTGTTCTTTTTGTTTTTTAGTTTTGTGAGTTATTCTATGAATTATCAAACCTGAGGGGGTGTGTGAAACTCTAAATTTAGTCAGCCAGACAGATATACGTGTAGCCTGGGGATCCTGGTTGCAACCAGTATCTGAACTGGTGGGCACCTTGCCCTTTAACTTGTGGAATCTGATGTTAACTCCAGGTAGTGTCAGAATTAAGTTAAAGTGTAAGACATCCATTTGTTGTCAGAAAATTTGTGCAGGCCACAATACTGAAATAACCCTGTTGATTTCATCCCAATTTAGCCCCCAGAACACTGATAATAACTTAACTCCCTCAATTAGGAATGAAAGTAAAGGTCTCTTCTCACAGGAAGATTATGTGTAAGAGAAAAGACCAAGTTACCAAAAGTGGGCTGTCCTCAGTATATTAACCCAACCAGATCATCATAAAGTAAACAAGACTCAATCCCTACTACACAGAAGTTCCAATCATCTTTTTAGTATCTCACACTTAAAAATGATCAGTAAGCCATTGTTTATCAGACATTTGAGAAACGTTTTTTAACATGAAGAGCCCAAAAGAGAAAAAAGTACCTGTGAAAGAAACAATCAATGCAAGGAACAGAAGAAAATGTCAAAACATGTAAGGAATAACCTCAGAGAGCTAACAATTAAACAGGCAGAAGATGCTAAATAAAGGAACACTAAGAAAACACACACAAACAAAGTTCTTAGAAACTGAAAATACAATAATGAAAAAAAATATTTTTAAAAACCCCAAAAGTTCCTGTCTAAACTTGGAATGTGCACAAAATTCTGGCTTCGTTTCTCAATTGGCCCTGGAGAAATTATAGAGAATTTGGTTTTATATGGAACTGATGCAAACTGTGAAATATTCTAGGGAGATTGAAGACTGGTACAAACTTGTGTGTATTTGAGGGTGGAGGCTACTTGCCTGGAGAGATGGTAACAGAAGGCAAGGAGAGGCTGTCCTGGTAGTAAAGTCTTTAAACTCTGATTTAGCCTTTCCCTGAAATGCCTTGGGACCACTGTGGCCTGTGTGTTTACCATAGAAATTGGTGGCAACTGCTCAAGCAGCTGAGTAAGTAGGATAACCTAATGGTAAAGAAAAAGTCCTGCTGGACAGAAGAATATGGCTGACCACCTGCTCTCAGGCATCTGCTCTACCTTCTCAGCTATTAAAACCCCTAGAGTTGGTGGATTACAAAAAGGAAAGGCATACTCCTGTAGATGCTGCTGCTTTGTAAATGTTGAAAGATCAAACCCTGATGAGAAGAATTACCTGGTAGAGCAATAGCAAATAAAAGTTATCAGAGGTGAATCCTTAGGTCTCAGGGCTCGTCATTTTGAGCTCATCTCCTCCCATTTCTTAAATCTACCTGGAGGAACACAGACCTGGATCTATCTCTTGGCCCTTCCCCAGACACACTGCCAGACAGTGATTGATATCCTCTTGGGAACATGAACTCACAGGCCAAAATGGCCACACATCCGAGGGTGTAACTGTTGTTGAAATAAGACCACAACTACCATGATCATCTTGACAGATACAGAAAAACTGTAGAATGTGGCCAGCACCTATTTATGATAACTCGAGCAAAGGAGCACTGCAAATAGCTGAAACTTGGTAAAAGTTATCAGAACTACAGCAAAAACTGTAGTTAAGTGAAGAATTTTAGATATGCTCCCTATAAGATGGGGAAAAAGAAATGGATGCCCATTACCAATGTTACCAATTAAGACAGTCCTGGCTACCATTATAAGCAAGGAAATAATAAGTATGAGGATTGTAAGGGAAGAGATAAATCTAACAGTATGCAGATAATATAATGATCAAACTAGAAAAACAAAGAGAATAAAAAATTAACTTCAGTAAATTTGTTGGACTTCGAAGTTAAAGATCAACTTACAAAAATTAGTAATATTTTGAGTAACATTAGCAAGATGGTGGAATAGTAAGTGCTAGATTCTCCTGACTCCCACAAACACATCAACTCAACAGCAATACATGGATCAATTCCCTGTGTGAGAAATCTAGAAACTCGTTAAGAGAATCCTACATTCTAGGCAAGGGTGGAGCCAGCTATATCAAAACTAGTAGGAAAACTGGAGACACCTTCTCACCATGATCCCCATTCCTGGCATAGTGCCATACGACTGGGAGGAAATATCCAGCTTCTCCCTGAATACAAAAGAAGTTGGAGTGTATATCTAATGTCTCAACTTTTCTGAGGGCTGCCTAACTGACGTCTTGGAGGCTTGATTAGACCTGGCGTACCTTAGGCCCCTGGGGACTACAGAGAACAAAAGCACTGGTTTGAACTAGCATGCAGGCACTCACCACAGCTCCTTTCTCTGCTCAGTGCAGAGTGAGTGGGAGGAAAACTTCAGCTCCCAGCTTCTCCCTGGAGAAGGAAAGAGGTGGACTGTGTGTCAAACATTCCAACTTTTCTGGGGTTTGCCTAAGGGACTGGCACCTGTCTCAACAGTCTCAGAGTGCTGTTGGAACCCAGCAGATTCAAGATACCTGAGGGCCACCAAGAACAAAGAAGGTAGTTTGAACTAGCACACAAACTCACCATAGCTCCTCCTCCTGGCCTAGTGCAGAATGAATGGGTGGAAAACTCCACCTCCAACTCGCACCATCTCCTTGAGGATGAAAAGAGTTGGACCATGCATCCAATTTTCTAACTTCTTTGGAAGCTACCCAAGGGACTGGCTTCTATCTCACTATTTCAGGACCTGGCATACACTGGACCCCCAAGGACTACAGAAAACAAAGGCATATTTTAACTAGCATGAAGGCACCATAGCTCTTACAGCAAGTGGGAGAAAAACCCCAGCTCCCAGTTTCTTCCTATGGGGGGAAAGAGTGCATCAAATGTGTCAACTTTTCTGGGGATTACTTGAGAGACTGGTTTCTATCTTGGAGCCCTGGAGGGCCCTGGCATATTCTAGATACCTGGGAGCCACAGAGAAAAAAGAAGGCGAAGGTGATTCAAACTAGCATGCAAACACTTGACATAGCCCTTTTCCCCATTCTAGAGCAGAGCTGGCAGGCAAAACACGCCAGCTCCCACATTCTCTCTGGAAAGGAAAAGAAACTGGACCACACATCCAATGTTCTAATTTCTTCAGGAGCTACATGAGG